TTTATGAGGAATCTAATTTTTAATTTACAATCCAGTCAAAAAAAAAAAAAATGAAAATTTCATAAATGTTTAGTTAAGAAAAACATTTGAAAATATTCGTAATCATTTTGACTAATTTTTTTCAAAATTTGCACTTCACTTCAAACGCTCATAAATAGTGAATGTTACTTCCCAGTTAGGTTAGGTTGGTTCCAGTAAACTTTTTTTTTGTTGAAGGTAAAAAAACTTATGGTGAATCTTCTAATAAACTTGCTAATGTAAGATATAAAAAAAAATATGAATTTCTAACTGAAAAACAGTTTTCGAGTTTTCGATGATTTTCGTCCAAAATCTGACTTTAAATAATTTGGAAAGAAAAACCGCATCTTTGTAAAATCAATTCATTCATTTTTTCACTCAGAATTTAAAACAAAAATGTGACGGCTGACAAACTTTTCCATATTGTTTTGAACACCCACGTCGGGTAACCCGTCACCGTAACGATGGTATTTTTGGATTTAAAGAGGCATTTTTGTCTGTGCGTCGTATATCATGTGACTATATTATGAGAAAATATATAAGTCATAGGTTCGTTATTTGCAGTTTCGGGTAGGTCGTACAAGAGTCACGCACGAAATTCTGTCTCGGAAAATGAGCTTGAATAAAATAAAAAAACATTTCGTCGCTCATTTTTGGCGTCGAGGGAAATGAGAAAGCTGAATATCAGCTGCAAAAAGAGCAAATCATCATCAAATTACCGTTAGAAACTTCATAACCATCTCTAAATGTGACATATATATACATATAGGCACCTACCCTCATTGAATCACGAGACTAAATTAAATAAATTCAAAAATATCAAACTACAAGGAAAAAAGAGGTCACGTCCTTGGACAATTCTTAATAGGAAATCTGTAAAAGTACTATTAGTCAGAATACATATCAATTCTACCAAACTTACAAATAGTTTCTCAATTAATATAATAAAAAGAACCTGCAATATGATATGGCCTAACTGTGAATCATGTTTGCATTAATTATGATAACTTTAAAATAAAACAAAATTGTCCTTATCAAACAAAAACTACAGCTCTCGACTATAGGCTGATTCGATACAAACAATTATCAACTTCCCCTTAAAAACTGTAATTTAAACAACATACCTATCATATTTTATAAACTTTAAGTAACTACATACAATATACATATCTAAAATAAAAACATTTTTATTAAATTATGATGTGTATTACAGTAATACACACGGTAAAACTGGTAAATTTTTATTAAAATTCAAATTATAGCGTACCTGTTGAATTTTTTCAATAATTTTTTCTATAATATAAAGAAGCAAGATAAATATAAAATAAAGTATTAGTATTTAATCCCTTTATTAATGATAACAATTAATAATTATTAATTTATCATAGTAAAATATAAAACAAAAATAATTTTAATCTGTTTCAAAAAAAATAAAAAAATAAAAAACAACTTATAGTATAAGTACACCATAACACAATAATTCGTATCACGTGACTGTCGTTATCATTTTATAAAAATCCTAATTTGTATTATAATCCTAATATCTTGATAGAAAATACAAAGACATACAAATAAAGTGGTCACTCAACTGTTTGAGTGGTAAAAAAAATGTAAATTGTAAATTGTTTTTTGTAATTTTACGGTAAATTTACTTTACCGGTAAAATTTTACATGGTAAATTTACGAGACTCACATCACTGGTATTACTTATAAAATGATTTTTTTCTCCAAAACCGGCTAACAGCGCAATTGTGCCAAGGTAGTTTTGTTCTCAAAAATACAATCTTACACAAACGTTCTGATTAATTTACTAAATTTATTTATTTTTATTGGAATTAATAGAGTGGAATATTCTGCAGTTCACGTTGAAGTCCGTATTCCGATATTTTAACATCAGTTTTTTAATTAAATCTGTAAAAAGACAATTTCAAGTTGTCTATACAAATCATTTTAAATCACAATTTGAAATAAGATAACAATTTGAGTTCAAAACGGGTTGCAGAGAGTGTTTTCCTAAATTTTTCAAAACCAAAATATTTTATGATCCTACGATGTCTAAGATTTTTTATTGCGAAGTCAGTTTTGTAAATATAATAATAACATAATATACTGCTCGCATCAAACTGCAACTACCAGAGATCTTATACGAGACACTCCCGAGACGTCCAACAAATTAATCAATATAAATATATTTAATGATGATTGAATAATTTAGTGCAATTTAATTTAATGTAAATTCTTTCTTTTCCAATGTAAAAAAAAATGTGACGCCTGCAAATAACCTTGCTATTGATGCCCCTAATAAAAGTTAATAAAATAAAAAAACATATACAGCTGAATGCGTATATTTGTATTTATCAGCATACTAATTTATAAAGTTTTTAGCAATCCCCGTGTCTTACATTAAATTAAGAAAAAACACCTTCTCAGTCATACATATTATTTAATTTGACATAACGTTGGCAATACGTCTGTAAGCCATAATAAAAAAAAAAAAAAATAGTGAATAGTTTACAATTGGTTACATACTTTTCGAATTGACAGCAATAAGTAAATTGATTTTGTGAGTTAAATGTTTCAAACTGAAAAAATAAATCGTAAACCACACAACGTCAGACAACCAAGTTGTCGATCCCCGAATCTGCAATAACTGTGTTGTAAATTTGTTTGTTTTTTTCTAAACTTATGACATTTATTTATATTTATGGAAATTCTATACACTTTATATACAGATATATAACGCATATTATGTACACGTGAAGTTGGAAAATGCACTTGTTTTTTTTTTTACCTCTTTAAGTGCAGATTACATGGGCAAATGTAAGTTCAGTTTAACACTTAAGTCATTTTTAATGTTTTTAGTCTTTTGACTAGAGTAGAGATGTCCAAAAAAGTATTTCAACTTAGTTAAAAATCAGAGTACTTTGTAATAAGTACTTTTAAAATTTTTTTTCATGCCGACGTGTCTATCTTATACCCTGTTAATAAAATACGAGTATTGACATTAAATATGATTAAATTAGGCAGGAAAGATAAAAAAAATGCAAAGTTATTCTTTACAATGCATTGTTTTTATCGAAAGTAATAAATATTTTATTTCGGAAAAGAGTAAATATGAAACATGAATTCTTAACATCGCCATTTTAACTATTTGTTAAGTATACATTATTTAATCAATAAACAATTTTATTGAATGAGTTGAATACGAATCTCAAACGCAATGAAAAATATTATTTTCAGGTAAATGTTTTTAGATGTAAAATCGTTTCAAATGAAATTAAAATTATTACACAAACATGAACAGCGTGAACAACGTTTCGATCATTTCTCGTTGTAAAATTGTAATCGAATCATCCAATCAACTTTATTTTGGAAAGCTATTGATAATATTTTTTGAAATATAATTGAGTACCCACAAAATGAGTTTTCAATACAAATTATGTGTACACACGAAAATAAATATGTTGTTTCAAAACCCGTTTTCTGTTGACATAGACTATATCGAAACTAATTTGTGATGTTGAAGTCATAGACCTGAAAAACAACGATGTTCTTAAAATTGCTTTTAAAAAAATCAATAACCTATACTTGTTTTATTCAAGTCTTTTCTAAATGTATAATTTAAAAGGTACAAAAAGTTTTTCCAAAAAAATTGACTAAGTACTTATATTAGTCGGTAGCACGCTAACGATATTCGTGAGCAGACGTCAATTTTGCTTGTCAAATATTGAAAATATAAATATTGTTCCATACTAAGTGACGAACACTCGAAAGGAGTTCTGCAAATATCAACATGCAACACGAAAGCGGATATAAATAAATTAGCAGAGTATAAAACTTAAAAATCACATTAGAAACTAAATATGTGAGTCATTTTCACTCGCACATAGGTTTTTTTTTATTCGAAACATTTGTAATACATTCAATTTTTTAAAACTTTTCCCTTCCTAGTAATATTTATTGTTCAGAATTAGTCGATAAAGAAAACTAAGTGCAATGGAACTCATGATATGATTACACAATATAAAATATGTATCAATACTAGTTGTTAAAACTGTAGTTTTAATTATGTTTATTTTAATTTTAAATATGACTCTCAACGAAAATCTGATTAAAAAATGTAGTCCACTTAGGTAAAAAAGTGACGACCCTTATTTGTAACATTAAATATTATACTTTTTTGTTATTTAGTCATTAATTGTTTCACATACTGTGCTATTTAATGTTGAGTTGTATTTCTATAGAAATCTAAAAATGGTGCACCCAACACTCCAACACTCTTACTATTTATTATTTACAATACAAATGCTATCGTAAATATTATTCTATTTATTTATACTATAGGCAATAATTTGTGTTCAATAATATAATATATTTTTAATCCGTTATTTGGCTATCGATTATAATAAATATGTCGGGAGAAAATTAACTCAACTCGTACGTTTATTTAATTAACTGATTAGTTACTTCATGTCACGAAACGGTTCTTGGTTCTTTAGGCTAGATGTTATATTGGATTAAAAAAAAAAACAGTAATTCGTTGTGTGACTTTAAAATAAATACGTTTTCAACTCGTATTATGATGCCTATACTTGCACTTATACAAGACTACATATTTTGTTTTATTTTATAAACCGCGTAGAAGCACACACGTACAAACATAGTTTGAAGTATAAGGCTACAAATTTAAACAATATATGGTTATCTGAGGAAAATCATCTAGTTGTGATATTTTGTTTTATTTTATTCGCATATGTATTTTTTTTTTTTTTTGATGATGATGATGAGGAGGCATAGGAGGTTAATTTTTCTAAACTATTGCATCGTCTAGTTAGAAACGAGTTTTTTACTATATGGCGATGGTGAAACTACCATATAGATAATTGTTTGGATAAGTATTTTGTCCATCACTGCAGTGGCTGGAAGCTCCCGCACAAATTATGATACCGTTGCTCTATCTGCATATTCTGTTTTCCAGGCGACCGCGGCCGGAGCAGGAAGAAGAAACGCGACTTTTTCGGCGCCATGAGGACCCGGTTCAATAGATCCAAGTTCAGGTCCAAGTCGATCGACGCCAACCAGCACGACAAGTATAGCGATTTGTACGGTCTGTCGCCGGGGCAGGCGCGATCGATATCGGCGGACGGCACCAGAAACTCTTCCGAACCGTCCATTGGTGAGTGAAATCCATATTTGAACATATCGAACGTGAAATCCAAAAAAAAGTAACGTCGAAAAATACGTGAAAATCAAATATATTATATATTTAAATTTAGTTGACCTATACCACAAGTGCTGCGTGCAAGCAAGTATTTCTTGTACAGCACTACCCATTTAGCGCAAGACATCCAATATTTCAATAAGTGAATTTTGGAAAATATATTCATATTTTTTTTTCATAATTCGTACGCCTTTTAAACACCCCATATTTCTAAGATATTAATTTTTTAATTTTTTATCGTAATCATTTTTTAAAAACATTTTTTAATGACAAATTGATTTTTAATTAATGAATCAGAATAATTTTTGTATTATTACTTAACGAGTTCCTTATGGATAATACGGTAAAAATTTTAATTTATCGGAGTGGCGTTGCACAGGAGTGCGTGGTAACTCTTTTGCAAGGTGCAAAATATTGGTCCACTACTCCTCTCGTCGTGGTAAATATACTTATTCGAAATTTGATTTCTATAGATCGAAATACTAAAAATAATAAGCTGCTTAAAAATATGAATTTAAAAATGTATTATACCATTGAAAAGAGTACAAAATTCAAAAAAACAAAAATATCAAATATAGTAAAAGAAATATTTTCAATAACTCAAGAGTTTTGTAGAACAAAAGGTGTCTTACGTTAAACTGATTACCCCGTGGTCTTATTTTTGGATTTTACTACCGAACAGTACCTAAATTTTTATGGGTGGGAAACATATGTGTATCGGAAACGTTTTTCTTTTCAAACCTAATTTTATGTCATTGGAACACAGTATCTTCAATATAAAACCATCAAATAATTAATTAAATTCACTTTTTTTTGTAAAAAAACTGACTGACATTTATCTTTTTTTTAAACGACTACAACACGTTTTTCATGTTTTTCCCAGACAGAATAATATTTGAACATACTTCTAATTATTGAATATCGAGTAATTTAGTTTGTTCAATATTATAAAAGTTTTTAAGAATTAGTGAGTCACGGTTTTGCTGTCTACTGTTCCACACTTATGCAACATTTTACATTCGTTGTTTCAACTTTCAACATATTTACAATACCTAATATTCTAATACAATTCTGGCTATGAACGTTTGTTTTTTTTCTTATTTAAACACTAATATATGTATATATTGACAATTTTTAGTATTATTTTTATTTTTTATGAGTAATTAATTATATACGTTAAAAAATAATACAAAAACATTCAATTACAGAGATGCCCTGTACCAGAGTTGAAACCTTCAGATGGTTACAAACTTGGAAATTCGTAAACTGTCATTTTCGTATTTTACGATACGAAATAATAACTATTTACATTTTTTCGTAAACAAATAGCGTTGTAATAAATATTTTGTATCGCATACTAAAAATCTCCGTGTTCGTCTAAGTCTAAGACATCAAAAACTGAGCAATTAAATTATAGTGCAGCCAGTTAATGTGATTGTACTGTGTATAGGCGTCGCCCGGGCATGGTGAGGAGGGGGGAGAGATTTGTTTGAATTAATAATGATATTCTAGAGGACAGGTCAACATTGTTATGGTTAAATTATACATATATAAACTCGTATATAATTTTATATATTATCTATTTTGCAAATTATTGCTATACAATATAGACACGCATAACATTAACATCCAGAACGTCGATACGGCGCCACTAACATTTAAAAAACATGCGAAATCGGTATAATAATAATTGGTAGGTGTAGGTGTAATTACTGCCGTAGTTTTTGGAATACTATACGTACGCCCAGGTACGGTTTATACTCCTAATTTGTCGACAAAAGGTATTTCGACTAAAATAAAAAAAAAACAGTTTACTCAATGGTGTTTGAAAAACGTCCGACTGGCAAACAACGTCGGGCAAGAGAGCTATTCGCGCTGGAAATTATTTATGCCGACCGCGTTTATAGTGTCGTAGTTTTATTTGTGAACTTATCTTGTCGCGAGTAAAAGGTACAGCCAAAAAATCACCAGACGATTAACGTCGATCGACGTGACATAATATTGCATGTGAAGAGCGTGACAGGAAGACCTGACAAATGAAATGACTTTTGTTACCTATTATAAACTATGGTGAATATTTTAAAAATATGTATTCGAACATTTCACTACAATCAACTAGCTGTCCCGTCACGGCGTTGCCCGTGTATTACATGGCTGTATAAAAACAAACCCTCTTACCCCCTTAGGGGTCTAATTTTGAAAAATCTTTTAAAAACAAAAAAAAAGTAATAATAATAAAAATATTTACAAATTTATTGTTATTAAAAAATGATATCTCATACTTATAATTATAATTTGTATAGTTTAACAAGTTTATCGCACATCGATAGGAAAATTATTATTTTTCGATAACGCAATTTGTATATTTGAGCTAATACGTGTTTCCCATACAACTCTCAACTCAATACAAATATTACCTTAATTATTAGTTTGTTGTTTATAATTTCGGCAAGTATTCCTACGTCACAAATGTAGCGGTTTCAGCCGTTTTTACGTTCGATCTTCAGTAGACAAATTAACTGACGTAGTGTCGTGTGGAAACAAAGATCTATTGCATCATTATTATATCTTTTCCAGCTCACCCCTTGCACTTCGTTGCCCTTTACAAAATGCCAACTCTATTCGAGACTCGCTTGTGATAATGTAAGCAGTATATTAACAGGTAGGCTATCTACCTGTGGTGGATTGCGAACCCGGCTAAGTGCGGGTATATAGTGTTTTGTGTGAATAATATGTTTAACTTTAATTGTATTAATTATTTTGATTGTGTACATATCGACGAGCGGCTACAAGTGTAACTCAGCCAACAGCCACTTTGTTAGGCAATGTACTAAAATTCGATTTGATGCATTCTCAAACCTGATCTGTCCGATTAACCAATGGCAACCAACAAATTTAAAAAAATACCAAGTCCAGAAAGTTGAGAGGAAAATTAGTTATTAATTAAAATAAACCTGCAAATTGTATACCTATACACATAATATTGTATGGCATGGCGGCCCGCGGGTGACTTAAGTTTGTTTTAAATTTTAAGCGTGATCGCTTAAACTAACCATGATGAACAAACATTTATCAAAAAACTCACCATACAATTTTTCATTGATCTTCCGATTGATTTCATTGTGAAATGATCTGATTTAAATGATAAGCGATAAGCGCAATGCATCGAGTAAGAGAAATAGGTAAATAATTTATAAATTTACTAAGAAATAACAAAATATTATTATTCTATTTTTTTACCGATTTTAACCCTTTAAAATCAAAATTTTGAAAAATCCTTTCTTAGAGCCCGATGAAAAAAAATATTTTGTTTAAAATCTATCGTCGAAATTTCAAGTCGATAGCTCAAATAGGTTCAGCTCTGCGTTGATTATTGATAAAGTACACTTTCCTTTATATAATATACAGAAGATTTGTAAATCTATTTTTTAGAAAACTTTTATACAATTCAAGTGGTTCGTGTTTTGTGATAGTGCAAAATTGTGTGATGTCCGATTGAAGTACGACTCGTTCGTTTGAAAATTCACAACGTTTGAAAATAATTGTGAGGCCCAGGAGCGTGCGTAGTAATACTCGTCCTCGAACACACACATGATTTCGGGCCCCGACAACAACATGGATACAAAATTATAGAGGACTAGCTGGGCTTGCAAATGTGTAATAAATCGAAAAGAAGTGGTAGTGATCGCCAGGGAAATACTGTCTATGGCTGCGCATCGCTTGTTGTGTAAAACACGTATGATTTGTGTATGGGTGTGGGTGTGTGTAGTTATAAGCTAATCGTAGAAAGGTATCACTGAAGTCGAATGGCAATCAAATGTGTGTCTTCACTTTGCTATTATTATTGAAGCAAAAATATTATATCGACAGTAATATTATGACAGATACCGTGTTTACTAACGGGAATTTACTGGTATCGCTTGATTTCGTACACAGTTATTGCAATAATTTATCAGAGTGGACGACGATGGTCGACAATTTCCATTCGACCGGAAAAATTTGTTTACACGACACTGGTTCTATATATCATCATTATTGTTACCAATAATATGTTATGTCTGGTATGTTAACGTCACACTGCTGCAGTACCTATAATATGGTTCACTGTACTGTTTCGTATCATCCAAACACATTTCGCGCAGACACAATAATGCACTCGTTTCATTTATCATCTCACGGAGACTTTATATAGGATGTGTATACTCAAGTCGGAATTTGATGTGGGAAACACGTGACATTGGTGCCTACAACTTTCGATGACATTGCATAAATGGAAGACTCGAGTAAAATCCTTTTTAAAATTCGAAGGCTCTGCAAGAAAAATAGCTCCCTAGGACATGACGTAAGTACTTAAATACTTTGGGACGACTGCAGTGTTCATAAAATATTTAGAACACTACTCAACGGCGCATTATTATAAGTTTGCTATGTTTTATTTTATTCATTAATTCAATTTTTCGCACAATCTTGCACCTCCTGCCCAACTGTAGCCTACAAAAACTAAGAATATCGGAAAAAAATGTCTCAAAAATCGAGAAATTCCACTGTAAAAATGTCCAAAACTACGAATATTCACTCTCAAAATGTCCAAAAAAATTTGATTTAATGTTAATTTAAGAAATGAAAGAAGAACAAAAAGTAGCTTATTCGTTTTAATTAATTATTCAAATTAGGTCAAAGAGAGATTGTGCAACAACAAGTGCGAAAAAAATGTAGGTATGTTGAATTGCAAGGACAATTTAAATAGTTTGTGTAGAGTATAAAAATAATGATACAAGTATGAAATATTTTTTTTAAATTAGATGTTCGAACAAAGAATAACAATCTCGTTGCAATAAAAAAATATTATTCGTCGGTACTTGAATATTTTAAAGTATATTATTATGTTATATACACACGTTCGCAAGTGCAATGCTTTCGCCAATAATTAATTTAACCTACTGTTTTAATAATAG